TGACTGGAGTGCAGTGGCATGATCTCTGCTCACTGTAACCTCCAACTCCCTGGTTCAAAGCCATTCTGCCACCTCAGCCTCCAGAGTAGCTTGGGATTACAAGGCATGCATCACCACACCCAGCTAATTTTTGTATTTTTTTTTTTTTAGTAGAGATGGGGTTTCACCATGTTGGCCAGGATAATCTCGATCTCCTGACCTTGAGACCCACCCACCTCGGCCTCCCGAAGTGCTGGGGTTACAGGTATGAGCCACTGTGCCCAGCCCCCTCAATCTTTTTGTACCTTTTCACTGAGACCAAACCATGTCTTGTTTACTTTGTTTTATTAGAATTATTTTGATAAAAGCAAATACTTGTATATAAGACAAATACAGGAAATAGAAGCTCTCTACTTGAAGTGCCCCCTAATTTTCAGCCATTCTTCCCCCAAAAAGGTGACAGCTGCTCACACAGGGTAATACAGGAAAGTTGTCAGTTCTTAGGATATGCCCAGCACCAGGCAGAAGATATTCTTTGTGTCAGCAAATTCCTGAAAATTCATAAAAAGAACATTAGAACCATATAGAATGTACCAATACAAATGAACAATTTCATGTCCTTTGCAGAAACATGGATGCAACCAAAGGCCATGATCCTCAGGTGAATCAATATAGAACAGAAAACCAGATACCGTACGTTCTCACTTGCAAGTGGGAGCTAAATGTTGAGTATAGACTGAACCCAAGTAACGAAATTGCACATAATACCCCCTAAATCTACAACAAAAGCTGAGGTTGGGCATGGTAGCTCACGTCTGTCAGTTCCAACACTTTGGGAGGCCAAGGCAGGAGAATCACTTGAGCCCAGAAGTCTGAGACCCAGCTTGAGCACCATAGTAGGACCCCATATCTACAGATTTTTTTTTTTTTTGAGATGGAGTCTTGCTCTGCCACCCAGGGTGAAGTGCAATGGCGCCACATCAGCTCACTGCAACCTCCACCTCCCAGGTTCAAGCTACTCTCCTGCCTCAGCCTCCTAAGTAGATTACAGACAGGCACCTGCCACCACGCCCAGCTAATTTTCGTATTTTTAGTAGAGACAGGTTTTCACCATGTTGGCCAGGCTGGTCTTCAACTCCTGACTTCAGGTGATCCACCCACCTCAGCCTCCCAAAGAGGCGGCGATTACAGGCATGAGGCACCGCACCCATCCTCAAATTTTTTTTAAAAAACTTAGCCAGGGATAGGCTGGGTGAGGCTTGCGGTGAGCCGAGATCGCACCACTGCCTGCATTCCAGCCTGGGCGACAGAGCGAGACTCGTCTCAAAAAAAAAAAAAATTAGTCAGAGATAGTGGTGCATGCCTGAGTCATTAGCTACTCCAAGGGTGAAGTGAGAGGCGAGCTTCCACCCAGGTTGTTGAGGCTGCAGTGAGCTGTAATTGCACCACTGCACTCCAGCCTGGGTGGGAGTAAGACTGTCTCAAAAAACAGAATAAAATTGTCAGACATTATGGCTCACACCTGTAATTCCAGCACTTTGGGAGGCCAAGGTGGGCAAATCACCTGAGATCAGGAGTTCGAGACCAACATGGTGAAACTCCATCTCTACTAAAAATACAAAACTAGCTGGGCACGGTGGTGCATGCCTGTAATCCCAAGTACTCGGGAGGCTGAGAGGCAGGAGAATCACTTGAACCCGGGAGGCAGAGGGTGCAGTGAGCTGAGAATGCGCCACTGCAGTCTAGCCTGGGCGACAAAGCGAAACTCCATCTCAAACAAAAAATAAAAATACATGTTGTGGGCTGGGTGCGGTGGCTAACACCTGTAATCTCAGCACTTTGGGAGGTCAGGCGGATCTCTTGGTCAGGAATTCAAGACCAGCCTGGCCACCATGGTGAAATCCTGTCTCTATTAAAAATACAACAATTAGCCGGGCCTGGTGGTGCATGCCTGTAATCCCAGCTTCTTGGGAGGCTGAGGCAGGAGAATTGCTTGAACCTGGGAGACAGAGGCTGTAGTAAGCTGATATGGCGTACCATATCATGGTAAAGAGTGTACCACTGCACTCCAGCCTGGATGACAGAGCGAGTCTCAAAAAATACACAAAACGTGTTGGGGTGGGGCACAGTGGCTCACTGAGGCAGAAGATGAAGACCAGCCTGTGCACAAAGTGAGACCCTGTAATATAGTTTAGATCTGTCTCCCCACCAAATCTCATATTGAATTGTAATGGATCACTGGGATGGATTCTTCATGAATGGCTTAAGTACCATCCCGTTGATGCTGTGCTCATGACAATCAGTTCTCTAGAGATCAGTTTATTAAAAAGGTGAGGAAACTCCCAGCCATTGCTGCTGCTCTGGCCATGCTACATCCCTACTTTTCTCTGTACCTTATGCAATATAAAGTATCAT